GTGGGAGGGCTAAATGATGTTCAGTTTCTGCAACGCACAATTTATTAACCACTTAGTCAGAAAGTCACAGTAGAGGTGGGCAATAGTCAGCCAGCCACCTCCAGCTGAAAGTATATTTAATGCCAGGTGCTTGGTCCTATTCGTCGAGATTCCTGTGCTTCATGGAGCTCCCACTGTGTACACTGAGAATAAAGGTAGAAGATCCTCCTCACTACTGTTTGTGGTCTGATCCATCTTTGGGGCTGTCCACGGATCAGTTGAATCCTCTTGTCTTCAGATTTCCTCTGTCACACAGACACGGTTCTGATGGATTAAACATAATGATCCGTCACCACCTCTTCCTTTGTAAGTTGCTGGTGTTTGTGGAAACATTTGTGATGCAAAAAAAGTATTGCGGAGCACGTCATTACACATTTTGATTCCTCACTACTTACCTTGATGACAGAAAGTGTGCCTTTGTGCAAGAACAATCAATTCCTAATCAGAGGCCCAGAGCGTACATTTCTGCTATGTAAATCCTGCAAGTGAGTATGATTCTAAAGAACATTTCATCCTATTATGCTAATGAGTAATGTTCATGTATATAAAGTTCTAGTACTAAATAGAGTAAGACTGCATTAACTCCATAGTCCAAAGGCAGGCTAGTAAGCTAAACGGCTTCTAGGAACATTTTCACTAATGTGACTGTGTGCTTGTGCTTGCTGGGATTGGCTCTGGCTCTCCAGTGACCCCATACCAGATAAAGCGTCTTTAAAAGTAGATGGATGGATGAAAGATTGCACCATGACTCATTTTAATATACATATTAAGATGAATTATTAAACAATATAGGTCTTTAGCTTTTGCATGTTGAGTTCCACCAGCCTCATTTTCCAAGTTACTGTGTGTTGACAGAACAGTGATAGGATCTGTACATGTACATGTACTGGGTTTTGAACCAAGACACAGATAGACCCAGGGGCTATTACAATTAAAAATAAACAATAAAAAGGGAGCTGTCTGCAGCATATGGTTCTGTCAGGCAACACCTCTTTGGAGGGAGGACTGCCACAATAAAATCTATAGATTATATAATATATAGTCTAGGTGGCAGGGTGGTACCCAGAGTTCTCTACAGAACTCCAGATGTGGTGGAGCTCACTGTGCAGTTTTACCATAAACTCTCTCTCGGCTGGTATTCTGTAGTCCGGTTGTCTTTTAGTGCAGTTTAAAACAAGCTCCAACGTTTCAAAATATGGGGACAACGCAGACTCTAACGAATGGAAAAGAGTGGTAAGTCATGGACTAGAATAGAGAACACAAGCTTTCTTAAAAGATCAGGAGAAGGAGGGAAGAAAGCTCATTGGTGGGTATCATACTTTTCTTTTCATTCAGTTTGATGCTTTCTGCATTAGAAGTGAAACAAGGGGAGACCATTAGGTTTTTATTCCGTACCTAATATTCATTACTGGTAGGGTGATATAAACTTGGATAGAGAGATGTTTTACTATTTAATTTAACATTGTCATGTCACCAGGGACCACAGGGCTACTGTAAAATGCAATAAAGTAAAAAAAAAATTAGCAGCAATGATTCATTTCATACATACAGTAAACGCACAGTTCAAAGTGTATAAATTTACAATATTTCAACACATTTTACTACATTTAAGTACTTAAAAACGTCAATATACAGTGATACTTGAGAGATATTGATACAGACCACAAAGTTCGGTTAAGATCTACTTTGGAATTCCTGTAACAAAATGAGTTGTTAACACAGGAATTTCAATTGACATTTTGACAAACTTTTCAGTTTTAAGAGAGGATATTGTCAGCTTGTGTTCCCATTTTCAAACTGCTTCTACCATTTCATTGTCACAGGGGAGGCAAAGAATATCCCAGGAAGCAACGGGAACAAGGCAGGATACACCCTGGATGGGGCACCAGTCCATTACAGGTGTTGTAACAGACAAATCAGTTCTGGATCCCAAGATGAAGTTTAAACAGGTGAGTTTTATTGCATGCAAGGAACAATAAAACCGAAGTACTGTTCGAAATACTGGTACAAAACGTCCAGTTTATAGAGCCCTTTCCTGCCGCTTCTGACGTAGCTCGTTACCATGGTAATGGGGGGAGGTCACGGTGTCCGGCCAGTTCACAGACTTTGGTCACTCTTAATGGTCAGTGTTAGGTTTCCTTCCCTGGGGGGGTTCCTAGCTGGCCTCTGGAATCCTTATCAGTTATCCCCCTTTGCTGCCACAACCCTAAGCCTGTTACTTAAAAGTCCAGTCCCCATGCAGAAAGGACTCAGTTAACTCCTTCTTCACATCTTATATCTTTCTTCACAGGGCAGGCACACAGAATGTAACCTGCACACAATCTGGGTGAACACATGGAAACATACAAGCAATGTTCCACTGTGCCACCCTCTCAGTTTTAATAATGCCATGACACTTTGGTATGGTCCACTTCAATATGTGAGTTTAGTACTCTCTTTGGCTTAAATTCCTGCTGCCTGTTCCAGAGATAACCTGTTATTTATTCTTTATGTGTGCAGGAGAAGAGATTATCAGTGGGGCAGAATTTTTACCATCGCTGTTGAGACCAGGGCTGAAGTATGGGTAGAGCTTCTCAGTGAAGGAGGCCATGAAGGTGTAGATATGAGAGCTGGCCTCCACGTTGTAAAAGGACACCTGCCCCCCCTCATAGTCCACATACACCCCCACCTTCCGGGGCCTCGTGCTCAGGGGCAGAGCAACAGCATTGTCAGTAAGTGCCTGATACTCCTTTCCATTCTTGAGCCAAATACTCCAGTACCCATCCTCTGGGCTCAACGTGATCTCTCCCTTACGGTCCACGGACTCTCTGGCCACTCCCAAATCCCACTCCGTCTTGTCCCCCACCTCCACCTCCCAGTAGTGTCTCCCCGAGGTGAAACCCTCCGCGCCCAGGACACAGAAGTCTTGGTCGAATCTCTCTGGATTGTCAGGGAGATCCTGGGGTGCGTCTCCCAGTCTCACCTGTTTCCCATCCTCAGACAGGATGAGACTGGGATGAGCAGTACTGGAGTCCAGAGTCACATTGACTGTGGGGCAGAGAGGAGACAGACGTGGTAAAACCATCTCTCCAATAATACAACATCAAATGATTTAGAAACATCAGCAACCGAGTTCTGCCTGGAAACCTCAGTGTGACAAATGCAACTTACATTTTTGATGGAATATAAATGCAAATATGGGTACAAACGTCTTAGATTCTCGTTCTGTCCTGCTTCTACTGTCTACTTCTGAAACTTTGCTGGTTTCTCTTTTATTCTGCGGAAATTCAAGAATTTTTAATAAGCCAATGCAAGCAGTGGTGATCCACAGGAGTTACAATTCATGTTGTCAAGTGCAATGTGATCCCTACACAAAAAAGCAACAGGTCCAGGAACCTGTGCACTATGGATGATTGATTCTGAGGCTTTACGATGCACTTGTACAATATACCTCATTATGATTATTTTGAAGAGAACATGGAAGGGAATATCTATGGAGTTTGAAATAGAGGTCTGGAATGAAGGTTAGATCCTAATCTTGCACTCTTCCACTCGCCTACGCATATTGGTCTCACACCCGGGACTTTCCTTTGCTTGTCTCTCCACTGCACCCCTCCTGGCTCCTCATCTACACCCCTGCAGCAGCTCCCTGGCTCAGTTCTGGCAATAGAGAGGGGGATTTGTGCAGCTCAATCCTCACAGCTAGACTGTCACTCCCTCAGCCAGGAGAGCAACACCAAATACTCTCTACACCTCTCACCACTCTGTCACCTTTGTTAGGATTTCATGCAGCTACTGAGACGGAAATAAATGTACAGACTTTTTTCAGCAATATTGTGCCTGAGAAAAGCGAGAAACTCATCTCTCCGTGAAAATGTCTTCGATTTTGAATACAGGCAGCTGCCGGTAATAGAGGAAGAAGCAGCTATGTTTACCAGGAAAATGTTACCTGAGGAAATCAGAGAATGTCATGGCTCCTTTTTTAGATGACAGAGAAGAGGAGACACAGTAATGGAATTACACTAAATAAGAGAGAGAGTGGATTGTGTGCCACTGTTTCCCCAGGTTCTCAACAGGATGGAGATTAGGGAAGGCGATGGAATGTGTCTCTTGTTATTCTGTCACTGAAAGGCTCAATGGTAATGCACACAGCACACTGATTAGCAGTGCTCGGGCCCCGGCTTCAATTCCTGGGGTGCTATCTGCATGGAGTTTGTATGTTCGCCCCGTGTTTACCTGGGTTTCCTCCAGGTGCTCTGATTTCCTCCCAAGACTCTCCAAAGCGGGTAGGTGAATTGACTTCAGGGATAATTGGCCCTGCTGTGAATGTGTGTCCTGTGATGGGCAAAAAGGCTCTATCCTCTTAACTAGGACCCCTAACATTCCAGCCAGCGGGTTTACTGTCTTCCCCATATAAACTGCCCAAACATTGCAAACCACTGTGCTTACCCATCCTCACGCTGGTGGAGGAGATTTGTGCATTTCTCATTTCATCTTGTGGGGTCTGCTTTTGCATATGAGTGTGAGCATCTGCAAAGATACACAGTTCAAGCGTCGCCAGCTTAGAAATACTGAACACGTGGAATAAAAAGTCCAGAACAAAAAGACCATTAATATTGATATGGCATATTTAAATTGTCAGTTTATACTGTATCTTGTACCATCATGAATGATTGCTATAACACGTGATCACTAGGATTCTAGAGAGCTGGCTAGTGCTGATACTGACAAAGCTTCTCAGCTTCTCCCTACTTCACTCTCTTGGCTGCCTCCCTGGTTCATTCCTAATAAAGTAAAAGGTGATCTGTGACAGCACTGATCTTCATTCAACACTGTCACTTCCTCAGCTAGGCAAGTTCATGCTAAAGTATAAATACTGCTGCAAAGGAACAAGTAGTAGGTTTATTCCATGCTGGAAAGGTGGAAGTTATTCCATTTCAGCATGGAATAAACCTATTACTTGTTCCTTTGCAGCCTACGCATGCTGACGCAGCTAGTCACCTGGACTATAAATACTGCTGTCCCTTTATATTCGTTGTCTCATTTAATCATTACTGGAATTTGACCGAACTGCTGAATAATGCTAACAGTGACAAAAAATATCCCAATTCAAACATTTCAGTGCAGTATTACAGATTTACTAGTTCTCAAACACGCTACCCCACACTCCATTCCAGACAGGAAGAGAACACTGACGTTCTCCTCAATACTCACAGAAGCCGAGCAGTACAGCAGTGAGAATGACCGTCCACATGTAAGACAGGACCATTGTTCTCCAGCTGCACGATGACCTTCTCCTGGCAGGGTTGTCCTGAGGTCCTGGGAAGACACAGGCTCTTAATCATGACCACTGAACACGCTGGTCTTACAATTCAGCTTGATCTATCCCATCAAGAACATAAAGGATATAATATAGGGCAATCAGACACAGGCCCTGGTAAAAACATGGGTTTTGAGTTTGTTTTTGAAGAGACTCAAAGAATTTGTTTCTTAAAGAGTCAGAGGAAGGGCATTACACAGCAAAGAAGCAAAGACAGAAAAACTATAGTCACCAAAAGGCTGAGATTTAGTCCTGGGTACAGTGAGTAAAGGGCTGGACTCAACCAAGTGCCCAAAATGACACACTGAATGCTTTAGTATTTAAGTCTCCCTCAACTCTGATCAAAGCCCACAAAAGTTGCGAGCCATGAGTTTGAAGAAGAAACACGGTGGTTTTGAGCCTCAGCCTCCTGTGATTCTGCATTGAGTCTAACTGTGTAGTCTGGGTGGCATTTCGGGTGTTTCTACAGTGTGACTTTGTGCCTTGTGCCTATGCTAAATATAAAGAAGTAAGGAAGGAGAATTATTAAAATTAAATCTTATTCTTATTTAATATATTTTATTTGCTTGCTATTAGCTAATAAAGATAGAAATGCTACAATATATAGCTGACAGCCATATCTTGAAAGAAACCAAGGTGGTGGGAGTGTGGAGCAAGTAGTCCAGCCACGTTTTTGAAACCAATACCCAGACTTCTCTCAAAAAGCAGCTGGAGGAGATCCCTCAGTCAGGACAGGAGGCTCTGCTTTACACAGAGGGTGGCAGGAGGGTAGAACAAGCTGCCGTGTTGTTGAAGCTGATACCCTGACTTCTCTCAAGAAATAGCTGGACGAGTTCCACAGAAAAAAACAAACAGCACCATCTGATTGCACTGACGTCAAAGAGTTTAACAGCACCTGTGTTATTTCTTCAGATACTTGTTGTGCAGGTTAAGTCTGTGGGTGGTTTTGGATTTCAGAGCACAGCCTGTTTCTGGTGAGTATCAGAGTCACTCAAAGTTAGACCCTCCAAGCGTGAAAGCCTGTTTCAGTTGGTCAGGTCTCACACAGAATACAAACCCTTGTTTTTCAACTTCCTTAGCTCTTCCAGGAATCTCTCCTCCAGGTGGGTCAGAGCTTCCCAAGAGGAGTCCGCACTAGGCTCTGTGGGGAGAGTGATGCTGGACCACTCCTTGGTTTGTGGAGGAGAGCACAGGGAGGGGAAACACTAGAGTAGAGAGAGAGGAGAGATTCAGCATTGTGAGTTGTTGTTATGTACTGTGTGTCCCCTGTGGCTCGCCATATGTTGTAAGACTGAGGATTATGGGATGCCCCCCCGCCTTAGTTTTCTGACGTCTCATTCCTCTGCTTCACAGCACTTTCCTCTGCACTTAATACCACATAATGTTGCTGTAAAGTTATATAGTAAGACACCACTGTTTTGTTGTCAAGAAGCTAGCGATCCTCTCACTAGACTACAGGGTGGAGACAGTGGAGCAAATGCTACATTTTACACTCAGGACTTTTGACTAGACTTTGAATTTGACTATCATTTTGGTAACAAGAGCATTAGAGTGACGCACTTTTACAATGATCTAATTAACGCCACCACTAATCAGCCCCTACCTGTCATCGCAGTTGTGCTATTCTCCTGAACTGCTTATAAAAGCCTTCTGTCCTCAGCTAACAGAACCAAAACAGCCCACATTGAAAGGTTATCTTTCAAGTGGTGGAGAATTATTCCCAGCTGGGGCATGAATGAAGCAAGCAAATGTAAGAGCTGTTGTTAAATCTCACTCTCGCATTACTCAGTGGACATCCAGGTCTCAGAAGCACTGCCTTCTAAATGCTAGACTGGGTTTTATTGTAGACATAATAATTCCTCACACTTATATAGTGCTTTACAGGTAATGGGGATCCCCTCCACCAGCACCAGTGTGCAGCCCCACCTGGATGATGCTCCAGTCTGCTCACACACACCAGCTCTCAGTGGGGAGGAGAGCAGAGTGAAGAAGCCAGTTCTGAGAGGGGGGTTATTAGAAGGCCATAACTGGTAAAGGACAGGTGGAAATTTGGCCAGAACACCGGCGTAACACCCCTACTCTTTTCGAGAAACACCCTGGGATTTCTAATGACCACAGAGAGTCAGGACCTCAGTTTCAGCCAAAGGACGGTGCCTTTTTACAGCATAGTGTCCCCATCACTATACTTGGGCATTAGGACCCACACAGACCGCAGGGTGAGCGCCCCCTACTGGCCCCACTAACACCTCTTCCAGCAGCAACCCTAGCTTTCCCAGGAGTCTGCCCTCCAGGTACTGACCAGGCTAACACCTGCTGAGCTTCAGTGAGCTGCCAGTGTGAGTTGTGGGGTCAAATAGCTGTTGTCCATACGGAGCAGACAGTGGTCTGCTCCATAGTATCACAGCTGCTTCTGCCATGGGATTGCTAGTCACGTTGAAACACAACTAATAACACACCTGTCAATCAATTACCATGACAGCAAGGTCAGGAAGGAAATCAATACCACCGGCAAATATGTAAGACCTGCATTTGCTGTTCTGTGGCACTCAGACTGAGTGTGTTCTCACCTGGTCTCTGTGTTCCCTAGTGTGCAGCTTGGTTTTTCAACTTTTGTTTGTTTCCTTTTGGCCTTTTTCTCGTGCCTTTTTCAGGTTTTGGACTTTGCCTTCTCTCTCTGGTTTTGCCCTTTGGATTTCCTTCAGTTGTCTGTTGTCACAGCCTGGACCCCTGCCTGTTTGCTGACGTCTGCCTTCAGATTGCCCCAAAGTGCGTGAAGCATGTTCCACACGTCCTCTCACCTGCAGGAAGAGGAGGTGGTCCTCGGTGCGGGCGAGCTGCTCCAGCTCTGCATTCCTCCTCTTTATAGCGGCCATCTCCTGCTCCAGCTCCTTGATCAGGCCTTCAGCCTGCACCTCGGCTGCCCTCTGCTTGTCCTCCAGCGCTTTGATGACCTCGGCCTGGCTCCTCTCCACGCAGTGGGCCAGCGCAGTGCACAGCTTCACGCTGTCCTTCATCTCTTTCTGCACCCAGCGCTGAAGGGGCGAGAGGACACGGACGGGAGAACCAGGGAAATCTCTGAACAGCCGAAACCTGCAGGAAGTTCCTATCGGATTCTCTGATGCGTGCTATCCAATGAGCCTCAAGAAACCAAATGATCTGAGCCAGTGCTTCTCAAGCTCTGGGCTGCAGCCCCCTAGGGTGCTCAGAGAAAGGTAGAAAGAGAAGAAAAGAACCCAAATATTGCTGTCCCAAAAAAAGCAATCTAAAAACAGGACTGACTGGATGCACACTATATACTCTGAAATCTATTCATTAATTACACAAAATAATTTTGGCCCAAAAGCTAATGCACTTTTGTCCCGATGAAGGCTTTTGTGGGGAGATATTGAGAAGTTGTTAATTAATAAATGTTGTGATAGCACAGCCTTGTCTGGAACACATTTCAAGGGTTTGTCGCAATATAAATGGATGGAAAAAAGAAAAGCAACACCCCTTCCTCCACACTCTGGCCTTCCCGTCTGTGTGAAACAGGCTGAGAGAGTCCATCGCAGCCTCTGTCTGGCCCAAGCCAGTCGGGTGTGATGTCTAGGAGGTGTGAGCAGAGGGCCTCTGACAGGTCTCCTTGTTCTAAGGCCAGCAGCATGGAGCCTCACTGTCCTGTCACTGATGCGGACATTGTGTCTGCTGGCAGCTTCAGCAGCGGTACGGGTGGTAGATCTGAAACGATCTCTCAGATGGACCAGTCTGATGTGTCGGCCCTGCTCTGGTGTGGTCACCCAAGGGGACCCGATCTTGGACGGTCATCTGCAGCCATCTGCAGTCTGCCGGTCTGCTGAAACCTTCTCTGCAGCTGGGACACAGTGGAGAGGCTTACTCCATAGTGTCTGGCAATGCTGGCACATGACATGCCTGCCTGCAGCATGCCAATGGCCCTCTCCCTTGCATCTGGTGACACTCAAGGCATTATGGAATGCACAGAAAACTGATTAAGTGTGGCCTTTATCTTGCAGTGATCTGAGCTTTGAATTAAGGCCTTTTTAAAGGTGACCTGATCAGGCATTTTTCCACCTGGACCTCATTGGGTAAAAGAGCACCTAATGAGCTTTCAAGTTGTAATACAACAAGTTGTATTACTTGTCAGAGGGCTTAAACCAAATTGACAACTTTTTGTGAAAATACTACAGAGTAACTGTAGTATTCTCTTTCCAGGAAATGTTGCGTTTCTTTTTTTTGAATATATTTTGAAGTATACAGTGTACGTCCAATCAATCCCGTATTTGATGATGCAGAGATAGGTCTGTGACCCCTGCAGCACCCCACTCAGAAAGACTGACAGGACTCACTGTGTCTCAGAGAGCAGTGACCCCAGCAGTGAACCCTGCAGTACCCCACTCAGAAAGATTTGACAAGGCTCATTACAGGACTCACTTTGTGGAGTTTCACAGATTTTTTGACGTCCTCCACCTTCTTCAGTCTGTCCTGGGCCATCTGTTGTAAATGTGCCTGTGTCTTCCTCATATTATTCTGCAGGCAGCATAATAAAACACAGGACCACACAGACTATTCATCACTTCCTGAATCAGATAATCCAGACTGGTAGAACTTTACAAGGAGTAAAACATGATATGCAGTCAGAGCTTTAAATCGGCCAAATTTCTGCGGAGGATAAAGATTTGAAATTGTGCTAATCAAAGAAACGCTCAAGGGAGTTCAGGATGGTATTAAAACTATTTGATCTTAGAATTTTATGTCATAAGGGCGGTGGCATTATATTGCATTACTAAGTTATCATTTTATCTAAGCAATATATGAAAAAAGCATTATATTTCTTATTAGCATACTTCATCTTGACCTCACATGTTTAAGAAGCGCTCGCGCACAGATCAACACAGACATTGCTCTTGCGCATTTCAACATTGAACATCTCCACCAACCTGAAGCTCCAGCCTTTGTGCTTCTATGGGGACAGTGCTGTGTGTCCGGTGGTCTTTCTTGGTGCACAGCCGACAGATGAAAGCCTGGTCTCTCCTGCAGAACAGCTCCAGCTGTCTGCCGTGCTTCCTGCACAGCTTGTCCCTCAAGCTGCGTGCTGGGTCGACCAGCCGGTGCCTGCTCAGTCTCCCGACCTCGCGGTGCGGCTGGACGTGCTCGTCGCAGTAGGAGGCCAGACACACCAGGCAGGACTTCACCGCCCTGAGCTTCTCCGCGGCGCAGACGTCACAGGGCACCTCCCCTGGGCCGGCGGCGCCCCCGTCAGCGCGGCTGCTTCTCGTGGCCTTGAACTGCTCCGCGATCTCGTTCAAGGTCCGGTTAATCTGGAGACTGGGTCTTCGGCCGAACGCCTCCTTACACAGCGGGCACTGACACGCACCCCCGCTGTCCCAGTACCCCCCGATACAGGCCTGGCAGAAGTTGTGCCCGCAGGGGAGGGAGACCGGGCTGGCGAACACATCCAGGCAGATCGAGCACAGGAGCTGCTCTTCGGACAGCAGGCTGCCGGGCGAAATCATTTCTGGTCAAAACAAAGGCAAACGCATCATTCAAACGTATCATTCATGAAGTGCAGGTACAATTACCTGTGGGGAATGGACAGCTTTGTTTCAAGGAATATTTTTCAAAAGCAAAATGTCTCGTTTCCCGTAACTCAATCCTTAGGAATTTAGACGTTTGACACAAGAACAAAGATCACACCAGAATTTTTACAACACAGTATTGTGTCTGTGTTCTTTCGAAGGTGCTTCTGCTGAAGTAGCTGCCGTACAGTCAGACTCACTGGCACTGATCCTGACTGGAAGGCATCTCTTATCTTTCAAGCATGGTGGGTTCTGGCTTTTCCTGATGCTGAAGAGTTGCGTTTCCCTGGGCATCATCACACAGAGATAGTTCAGGTGGGTAGCTGCGTCGGCATGCGTAGGCTGCAAAGGTTGAGAGGGAGGAGGAGTGAGAGGCGGGAGCAGGGGACAGAAAGAGAGGCCAATCAAGAGGTGATTTGTTGATTGGCCCACCTCTTGATTGGCCTCTCTTTCTGTCCCCTGCTCCCGCCTCTCACTCCTCCTCCCTCCCAACCTTTGTTCTCCCGCTACTTTACCTTTGCCTACTGCCCTGTCTCTCTCACACCTGAAGAAGGCTCCACGGCCGAAACGTTGTGTTCTCTTTCTTCTTTTTTTCAGCATGGAATAAACCTATTACTTGTTCCATCACACAGAGACGCTCATTCCCATGAACACTGCAATTCTTTCTCTGCCTCTTTCATTGAGAGAACTGTGGTTGGAAAAGGGGCGGGGGTGTTAAAATTCCGCTCTTATCGGCATTCCAGATCTCCAGACAGAGCACTGTCTGCAGCTGTCTGTCAGCGAAGTCACACTTCCTATTGATGGGCCCATTATCTATGTGTTCTTCAAGTCAATCGCCACCAGTGTCCAGGGTTTCTCCGAGCACTGACTGAAATCAAGCACCCAGAGACGCTGCCAGGTCTTCAGCCTTCCATCCAGCCTTTACTGATGCTCTCTGAACCACAGGAGCCCTGCCCAGCCTCGCCCTTGTCTTCTGTCTTCTTTGTGCTCCATGTCAACATGCATATTAACAGCTCAATGCACATCTGGGAGACACATTGCCAGTACAGACTGGACTGTCACACACTTCACTGGGACACAGTACCAGTACAGACTGGACTGTCACACACAGCACCGAGACACAGTACCAGTACAGACTGGACTGTCACACA